CCAAAGACTGGGTCAGCGTTCATTTTGCAGTAAGAATCTAGACATCATTTATAAAACTGAGTCAAGATGTTTCTATAGAAACAAGCAATAACATAAGAAAAGCAACAGCACTGGATTCCCTTTAGTCAGCTCTTACAGCAACTCAAGTTTAGAATCAACAGTTGCTGGAACAAACTTCAAAATACTAGGAGAGATTTTGTGCATAGGAGATGAAAAGGCTTTTCCAGATACTTAACTTGTGCATGGGTGGAACAGAGATGGCTTCAAGAGGAACAGAGGCTTCTCTTGATAAACACAAAAATAAGTGTTGGGAGTTCCATAATTTTGGGATTAAATTTCCCCACTAATACAGCACCAGCTAAGAAAGTGTAAAGACAGGAACCTAGCACAGGAGGGTCGCGGGAGAGAAAACCTGCCTGTCTCCATGTTAAGATCTACTATCTCTCTTCTCCATTTTAGGATGCTGTTTATAATCCTCCTTATAAATTCTACTACTGTCCCTGTAACTCGATCCCATCCATGCTGCAATTTTACATAGAGATTAGATCAAATGCAATATCTAATTTGTCTTTTCCTTATACCTGCAACACTTAATTTCCATAGGATTTTGTTTATTAGGGTTCCCCCACTAAAACTGGTCAGCTTGACCCAGCAAAAGGCTTGCAACCCTGTACGTTCAGCATGGTTTCAATGCACTGGTTTGCTAAAATGAAGCAGCTGACAATTTTGCCTTTTAAAGAAAGGATTTCTATTTGCTTCTATCTCCAGAATACTTTTTTCTTTCAGAAAGTGGGATCTTCATTCAAGCAGAGCACATTATCCTACTTACTGTAGGCGCTTACAGTTATGTTTGAAAAGCTGGATTTTTTTTTTTCCTTCAAATGCTGTCAAGCCTCAGAAAACCCACTAATGCTTTTTAGAAAGTTAGTATCACCTACTATTTTGTAGATATGAACCTCTGCAGCAGAGTTAAATTATTTGTAGAGCCTGAACAAATTTGGGATTAAGCCTTCCCTGTCAGGTATGACTATTTTCGGAAAAAAATCTCAAATAGCAAGCAGGAAAAAACCTTCAATTTTCAGATTATCTCACTATAGAATAAATCTGTAATAGGTTTCTAGCCTTAGGCATCACAGTTTCCACATATACAAGTGCACTTCAAAGTGCACTCGGCCACTGCTGATTTATGACAAACTATACCATTCTGGGCAACACAGAATACATCCATTCTACATTCTGATGAACAATTAAGCATTTACACAAGGGATACCACAAGTCTGTTGATATTATCCTCTAGTTCTGTTTCTGCTCATTCTTCCCATGTTGGAGAAATACTACTGATACTGGAAACTTATACAAAAAGTTCAGGACTTGGACTTGACTAGGACACCCAAACCTCCTCAACACTAATTCTCAACAGGAAACACCCAAGCCCTTTTGTAATAGCACCCCTAAATCTGATGTCATCTATTAGAAGACAAAATACTCCATTTACAGAGATAAAACACTGTTAATACTAATAATAAAACATACCAAAGGGTTACAAACTCAGGTTAATGAAGAGGTGATCGTCTAAACAAATTTAATATGCTTTCAAATACGTGTATCACATACTAACTCTGCGCTTAGGCATTTTCCAGAAGCATTGGGTTTAGACGTTAACAGCACTCTGGATTCTATGTATCCAAACCCAGCGTGAGGTGGAGATCCCAGCCTCACTGAACCACCTGAGGATTTTGCCATTGCCTTCAGCTTCGATTAATGAGAAACTAAATCCCATTACTGCCCAGACAGTTCTCAGTACAGAAGGAAGCCACAGCTGCCACAGCTTTCAGGAACTCTGCCGTGACACAGTTTGGCTTCAAAGTGCCTACGGACAAAGCAAGTGCTCTGTCTGCCGATAACACCACCTCATGCCCTGCAAGGCATGTACGGCACGTGCAGGGAACACAAATGCAGGAGTTTTGCATCACCTTTTATTATTACAACACACTCACACTTTTCTATTCTTATTTCATGGTTTAATTTATAGGTGTTGATGAGATTTAGACTGCACTAATGTGACAGTGGCTAACCTATTTTAGAAAGTGGGTTAGGGAAAGAGATTTGATCCTTATCTGTAGTGATGTTGAGAATACAGGACAATGTGTGTGCCCGACTAATAACCATCAAGAGGTAGGAAAAAACTCTGAACTTGCAGGGCGAAACAGCAACCTGCTCCCAGAGCCTCAGGAACAGCTAAATCTTTTGGTGCTTTCATGTACCACTTGTGAAGCCCAGCAGTGCAATAAAGGAGAGATGGAACAAACTATCCAGGTTCTGCAGCGCTTTGAAGACTACAGTAAGTGTAATTATTTTCATCTTTGCATGCAAACCTACAAAGGATATTAATCAAATTATCATCCAGTTCAGCTCTCAAATCTAATCATTGAAGTAATTCTAGTCTATTCCAATAATGAATTCCAAAGGCTACATATAAAACTTAGTTACGTATCCTCCTATATTTTTAAAAATGTGTTTGTCACTAATTTCATTAAGCATGTCCTTGCTGACACAATAATAAGCTTCAATAAAAAATTAAAGCCAGAGGGTTTGGCATTAAATAAGTAGACATTTCCTACAGAGTACTCTCTCTTAAAAAACATTATAGGGTGTATACATTATTATTTAGGTCCTGCTTGTCAGGAAGGTACTCTTTTAGCATTATGCTACAAGGTATGATCTTACACTAACTGAGCTTATTTTGGAGGAAATGGGAACACCAAATCATACCCAGGTTCGCAGCCCCAGATCCTCACCTAAAAAATCCTCTCAAATAAGGCCAAAGGATTTGCTCCTCACGCAGGCTCCACTTCACCCCAGCTGAAGTAAAAATTCACCATCAGAGAAGATTTTGACTCCTTTCTTTTGCACCGCACGTACCACTAAGGTGGCGCACGCATTTACACTTCAAGAGAGAATGTGAAACAGGAAAACATGAGCTGAGGACCAGAGTCTGTTAACAGTGCAAACACACTCAGCAAACACAGCGACAGTGCTGGGCCTCCACGAGGTACTCTAGTAAGGACTCAGCCTGGAAACAGGATTCCTGCCTGCTGGAACAGCAGTGTTCGGCAACAGCCTCTCCACGAGAGCAAAAAGGGCGGGGGAACTGATTATTTTGAGAGAGACATGGACACATTCACGAAAGCAAAAGAAGTACAGCACGTGACAGGCCTTGGTGACACAGGAGCCCTCCAAGTCAAGCTATGTGTCGGTTCTTCTCTGGAACAAGAGAATCTGGGACCTTCTGTCTAAGTCTGCAGCAAGTGTATGTACCACCAACTCCTCACCTAGCTTTGGTCTTCCCACATATAAAAATAAAATATTCGTATTTATTTATCAAATTATGATTATTTTTTTACTGCTATTTCATACAACATTCACATTTTCTACACATATTAAATAAAGGCAACTCATATTCCTTATTTCTAAATCTAGTTTATTATTTGCCCAGCTGCTGACACCTCAGTATGCAGAAAAACTACTCCATGCTACAACAGCGAGACGTTTCCAGTAAACAGGAAGGATTTTTTTCCTGCTTCCTTGAGGTCTATCTGCCTTGATATCCTATCGTTATGCCCCAAATTGTCAGAAAGGGCCAGGATCACTATCCGTGTCTGAGAAAAGCCAAAAGAGAGTGTCTCAATCATGTGTGACTGTGTCCAACCAAGAGGTACCTTTGCAAACTTCATTTCAAAATGTGTTTAGGGAACGTCGGAAGGCAGTTCTTCAGCATGCACCATCCCCTAGAAACACCACCACACCAGTCACTAAGAAGCAATGGTAACTTGCAAGGGAGCAACCTCCTTAGTAAAGAGCTACAACCAGTTTGAGAGCAAGAAGAGATGAGATGTTCTGATGCAACTTTTTAACCTCTCTTTCCAGGGAAGACAGCAACAAGAACCAGCAAGTATTCCCTTCTCTCCTCCTGCAATATCCTGCAAGAGGGCTTAAGGACACAGACAGGGGAACTGCTGAGCCTCTCCTGGTGAATCTGACTTTACGCTAAATTCAGGGATGTGCCCTGCTCTGCGCAAATATTCCAGAGAAAGGGACAAGAAGATGCACTGACTTACGTAAATGGTGACCCAGTGAATTCTCAAGTACCAGCATATTTCAGAGTGGCCCACTTCTAGAGGTAATGTCTGGCAAGCACTACCAGACGCTTCCAAATACTAAGCTATTTTATCTGTGAAAGGGCTCGCTCATGGTTAAGTGGAAAGCATCTTACAAGAATCTTCAACAAAGAACGTTCTTCTTTTCTTTAAACGAAACATCAGTAAAGGTGCATTTAGAGCACTGCCTTTGTCTAAACACCGGGACGATGCTGTCTGCAAAACAAAGGGTGCATGGAAACCCAGTTTACAGTTAACAATAGGGGAAACGGTCCTTTCATTCCCTAAGCAAAAAATCCACTTCCGTGCAATAAAGGCATAAATCCTGAAGACAGACAAAAACAAGCAAACAAACAAACAAAAACCCCCAAACAAACAAAGAGTTGGTGGTTTTCTCCAATTACAACATATCAAATTTCCGAAGCAATAAAGAGACTAAAAGCTTCAAATATTCAAGTGAAGAAACACAAGACCTGAACTACTGGAGAATTCCGGGGATGGCAAGAGCACCCCGGTTATTTCCAGCGAGATACACGTGGATGCCGTGCAGGCACCATCTGCTCCCACCTTCTCCCGGCCGAACTAAGCGTCCCGGAGGGAAGGAGGAGGATCAGGCGGGCCCACCGCGGGGGGATCCTCCAGCACCACGCGTGGGCAGCCCCCACGCAGCTCGGCTGCGTTGCATAAGCCCCGCCGCAATGGAGCGTTACCCGGGAGCGATTCACCCGGGTGGGCTGCGCCGGGAACGCCACTACAGAGGAACCAAGAGGTGTTTTGCGGGGTTCCCGCCGCCCGGGGAGCCGCGGGCCGCCCTCCCAGCCCCCTCGCCCGGCTGACACCCACCTGCTCCTCCGGGCGCCGCCGGTGCCGGGCGGCCGCCGGTGCCGCCCCCGCTTCCCGCTCGCATTCCCCGGGCGGTGGCGGCGGCAGCAGCTCCGCCGCCGAGCCCATGGCTCCTCCGGCCGAGCACACGCCGCGCTCCCGCCGCTGCCGCTGCCGGGGCGGGACGGGCCCGTCACGGGGCGCGGGGAGCGGCGGGAGGCGGCGCCGTGGGGAGTGAGGGGCGGCCCCTCTGGCACGGGAGTCGGGGCCGGGGGGGGGACGGGGCGGGGAAGGTCCTGCTGCCGGGTCCCGCCTAGGACCGGAGAGCCGCTTGCCCCTAGTTCAAGCTAAAAAAAAAAAAAACAAACAACCAACCAAACAACCCTACCGAGACCTAAACCCCCACTTTCGCAAGCTTTTGTTAAAACCAGGAAGCGCCAGGTGTTAATAAAGCGTTAATTTTAGCACCACTCCCTCCTGCTGGCGTGTCCCCGGGGAGGAACGGCTGCCTCTCGGCAGGGTGAGATGTGGCGTTTGCTGTTCCTCCCTCGGGAAAGAGGAAACACACTGGCCTCGCTCTTCCGAAGCTGTCTGGCATCAGGTCCTCTTTCTTTAGAAGGAACTAATACACGCCAGGAAGAAGGAAACACAACAGCTAACGCAGAAGATGAGACTTGGTGTATGGAGGATTAGATTTGGATTAGGGGAGGTTTAGATAGGATATTAGGAAAAATTTCTTCACTGAAGGGATGGTCAGGCATTGAAACAGGCTGCTTAGGGAAGTGGTGGAGTCACCATCCCTGGAGGTATTTAAAAGATGTGTAGATGTGGCACTTGGGGGCACGGTTTAGTGATGAACTTGGCAGTTGGGTTAACGGACTCGATGCTCTTAAAGATGTTTTCCAATCTAAATGATCCTTTGCTTCTACATCAATGAAGTGTCACTGCACAGGGGTGTACCCAGTTTCTGCTCCAAGCACGACTGCGCCTCTGCAGAGAGGCCTCGCTCCTGCCAGCCCTGCACACCTTATCCATGCTGTCCACTCCACCACAGCACAGGAAGGACAGAGCCTGAATGTGCAGCTGGATTTCAGTGCATGGCATTCCCAAGCTCTGGTGCGACCACTGTTGTCACGTTTATGCATCTTTTCTCCTCATCCAGAAGCCAGTTCATGCATTATGGGTGGCAGGTCTGCTGGGCTCAGTTTTCTTTGCACAAGCAATTACTGAAGGTGCTAACAGGTGGCATGACAGTAGGATTCCATGCAAATCAGACATATTAATACTATAGGGCTTTTTGGTGACTGTGTGTAGGTCCCACTGTCCTTTGGAGTGAATTCTACCTGCTCTTTGCTTTTCCTGTCGTTATTGTTGCCAACAATCAGCAGTAGTTGTAGCAAACCTAAAACCATCAAAAAGAACCGCTCAGGGTACTGTGGTCACACCTTCAGGCTTCAAGCAAGTATTCTTCATAAGTGTGGAACAGTACACAAGCCACAGCACTTGCCAAGCCCCTCAGTTTGGCTGCAGAGGCTGAGGGCCAACATGGGGACAACTGGGACCAGGAACTTGGGGAAGGGGCCACTGCTCTGCCCTCAGTGTTTCACTTGGCTGTGGCTCCTCATCCTAATGGAACAGCTGGCCCTGCCTGCTCCATGAGGTGCAGGGTGGCCAAAAGCAGTTTGCCCTGAAAACCTGACTAACTGCTTGCCCATTTATTTGTTAGTAGTGTTTCTTAGGAACAGGGATAAGCTTGACGAAATACCAAGCTGTTGAAACAGTGCCCATAAACCACTGCAGTCTTATTGGCATGCAAAATTACTGGACACCAGAAAAAAATCCTATGGACTTCACCACCAAGGGCTGTGGTGATATATATGTGCACGATGTGACTGCTCAACAGCAGCGTTGTAAACCATCCCCGAGGTTCTCTGCTCTGTGGGCGATTTGTGAAGAAAAGAAGTGTCACACATAGTACTTACGTTCAGTAAATGCCTTCTGGAAAAAAAAGTCTTAATCGAAGTACTGATTAGGTGTCCCTTTCAGTGAGCCTTTTAGTACACTTAAACCTTTGCTGATTTGTGAATCACAAAAGCTTGCATTAGAAATTTTTTTTAGAGAAAGTTTATGCTGAGGCCACCACTGTTCTTCACAGCACAGCCTCTGATCCCTGCTGCCTCTTGGACATCAGCGACCATTCTGCCAGGAGTACTACAATGTGTGGCTGGCTGGCTTGGTGCTACTGTTTCGTCCTCACTTATCTGCAGTCCTACTGTTTTGATGTTGATCTCCCTGCAGACAAAGATTCTTCCAGATATTCTGTAGTGAAGGAAAGCTCATCGTATTTCTTAGTAAGTCACACTCCTCCCTACTGCAGCTGGCAACCTTTGACTGCTTCTTCACACACTGAGCAACTCAGTGCACTGGAACTGCCTCTGGGTCCCTGGCACTCTCCATGTGGGGAAGCACCCCTGGGGCAATAGACCCAGCAACCAAGGGGATAACAGGGACTCAGAAGCCCTCACTGAGACTTCTTAGGATGCATTCACCTGTGCAACTTCAGTAACCTCAAAGAAACCCATTCCCCTTCATAGCAAACACTCATAGTAAAGGCAATGCCACAATCACATCACAACCTCTAGCTTTTCTTATGATGAACTTTCTGAGGCTTCATATGCTCTGCATGCTGGTGCCTGGTCTGTGAATGTAGCTGACCTGCTGTGAATTCTATCTTACTGAAATCAGGATTATTTCCTAACATTCATAACTGTGTGGTTGCTTTATACAGATCTAATCACAAGAACAAGCTCAAGGACCTCTGTCACCAAAAGAGATCCCCACAACTTAGCAACTTTCCTTTCAAGATCTCTGTCTGAGTGAAGGCTCCTACTCTCAAAGCCCTTAGGACATGGCTGACCTTCTGCTGATGTTGTCTTCTCCCAGTAGCAATACTCTCAGAAAATGTCAGCATAAAAACCCCAGCATGACTTAAGTGATAGGCAAAAAAGCCACGTGACAAAAAATTTGGCAGACATTCAAGTTTAAGGGCAGATTTCTGCACAGTAACTGTTTTGCATGGGGCAACTTGTAGTCCATTTGTAATACAAGTACAGACAAACTATCTCCCAAGGAATAAAAGAGAGGTCGCCTTGCATGACTGTTATTTGGGGGTCACTAAAGAGAGTCAAAACTTCATGCCAAAATCTGTAATTAATGGGTTTTTGGGAAAAATAAGTACTTGCAGTACTTGCAGGAAAAAGATTAAACACTGTAGCTTTGCTCAGAGCCAGGACAGGCTGAGCCCACTGGCCTTGCTGAAACAAAGTGCTGACACAAGAATGCAAAACATAAGACACAGCTGGAGTGAGTGGGATTAAACTCCCTCTAGGTGGGTATCTGTGCTCTAACCAAAGCCAATAGTAGGTACTGGGGAAAGAGTAACAGATGCTGCAGTGAAATTTCTTGAAATTTCTTGAAATTTCTTGAGAGTATTCTTGTGGCTTCTGGTAGTCTCAGGTTCAAAGACTTCCTGAGCCTAGGCGCCAGGTTGGATAGTGAGAACATTATTTCAAAGGCAGCAGAGGATGGCCCTCTCCCACAGGGATCACATGCAGCCAAGTCACACAGTGTGCTTACACTAGTCTTGTTGCCCAGAGGAATGTATCCCATTCATCCTGCAATTTTGTTCTCATGTCCCTGGCCTTCACTAATGCCTCCTTAGACTGCTGCTATGGCTGGGGCAGTGAGCCGCATCTCCAGGGATGTCAGCTGCTCCTGTTCTCAGGACTTCCCCATCTCAGCTACCTGCCTGAGGGCATGAAGGCAAAGCTGAAGCCTGCCAGAGTGCAGGCTGTGGTGTGACGATACAATAAAACCACATTTTGGCTGTTGAATTCCAGACTGAAAAGGCCATCACCGTGTAGCACACAGACACCTTCCTGTGTCTGTTCAAACAGGTCAAATATTTTTGATGGGTTAACACAGTGAATACAGGTCTCAGCCGGAGTAGGTATTGTGTGTCTTCTCTCCCACCTGGCAGAAAGCTGGCATGAACACCCACCATCAACCTAAAATGGGGCACCATCTACTATCCAATTCAACAGATACACAACTGTGTGCCTGCATCTGCTCCAGACCAAGCCTTTGGGGTTATTGCCAACACAAAATTTGTCCTTGTGGGGACTCAGAAGGGACAGAAATAGGATCCAATGGATGTCTGGAGTTCTCACCTGTTTGCTACCTGCCACTTCCTATCAGTGGCAACTCAGCTAATTTCCTTTAATAAGTATGTGGTTAAAGACTTAAGGGAAAAAAACCCAAGCAACCAATCTCTTTTTTTCCTCCCTCTTTATATGCATCTAATAGATGTAACTCACTTCAGTGTCAAATTCACTCAGATTGCTGACTGCACAGTTTAATCCTGAACCTTTTCAAACTCTAGAGTTCATCTAAATATTAAAAGGCTTGGAAAAAACAGAGGTTCTCTAAACCTCTGTTAATGGAAACTTTTGTCCTAACTGGAAAGAGGTCAGTGTGGTTTTATACAGGATAATGGATTTACTGATGAACGGAACATTTCAAACCCTCTGATGGGTTTTATCTACTTTATATTCCAGATGTTAATATATAAGTAAATTCTCTAAACTCTCAGCCAATTTGTCCAGTATAACCGTGCAGCTTATGATGGTCATTGTAGCTCTTACATGGATTTTTGAAGTAAAGCTGTTAAATTCTGTAATTTCCTTAGATCCTTCAAGCATATAAAGAAATACAAGATACGGCTTTTCCAACACTGGGTACAAAGTGAACTGGAAGAAATTGGAATTCAAACCATGAAAATATATTAAAGTATACTGAATAAAAATGAAATGAAACAATTAATTTGGTTCCTTTTTCTTCCATGTATGATGACAAAAGGACATTGAAGATCATCTCACATTAGCAATATCTATTCTCCAATAGTTGATATGTATCACGCAATCTCATTTAAGGGTCAAAGCAAAATATACATGGGCTCATATACACGGGCTTAGAAAGGGAGAAACAAAACAGTCATGGAGAAGTTCTATTAAAAAAGGTCACCTGGAGCAGTCCTAGGCATTGCAAGGTAGTTTTCTGTAGTACCTTTTCTAATGC